GGGGAGGGGAGGAAGGACGCAGGGAGAGGACATGGGCAACTCGTCTAAGAAGGAGGCCGCGGAAGGGGGAGATGGTGGTGGGGTGGCAGAGGAGGGTGAGGAGGGGGCAGAGCAGAAGAAAAAAGAGGAGGATGAGCCGTATTATGACCAGGAACTGCCACCACTGGTGGAGGATAGTGTTGAATCTGGGGAATCACTGCTAGGCCTGACCTTCCTAGGCCTAAGCAACCTGCCGACCCGCATCTGCTCACTGAAACATCTGGAGAAGCTGTTCCTCTCTAACAACCGTTTGCAGAAGCTACCAAACGCCTTTGCCCAGCTGGAAAAGCTGCGTGTGCTGGGTCTCGACCAGAACAAGTTTGACGATATACCGTTAGTTGTGTGCGAGCTGGTCAACCTCACCCACCTCTACATGAGCAACAACAAGCTCCTAACTGTGCCTGTGGAGATGGTCAACCTGGAGAACCTGCGCTGCCTCTGGTTGGACGGTAACTACTTCCAGCATTTCCCCGGGCTCCTCATGAAATTGCCCAACCTTAGCTCACTGCAGCTGGGAGACAATATGATAAGGGATCTGCCCAATAGTCTGTGCCGCATGGAACAGCTACGGGGCCTCTGGCTCTATAGCAACCGCTTCACCAAGTTCCCGAAAGTGCTGATGCGCATGGAGTACTTGGAGACCCTGGACTTGGACCACAATCAGATCCCTTCCTTGCCTGATCTAGACCACCTGCCTGGCCTGCATCTGTTCTCCTATGACCTAAATCCTGTTAAGGTCCCCCCTAAAGTGCGTGACGGGGTGGTGCTAGTGGGAGCGGGGGCACGTGATCTCAGGGATGCAAGGGAACAGCAGTTGGACGAAGAGAGACAGGCTGCTGAAGAAGAAGCTGCAAAGAACGCTGAAGTGGAGGCCAAGTTGCTACTCAAGATCAGGCTGAAAGGGCCACCAAAGCAGTCCACCTTGGCACCAGAGCAGGAGCCGGAGCAGGAGCCGGGCACCTTCCCCGATCGCCAGCCCAATGGTGTGGCAGATGGGATGGTGAAGGGGGTGGGGCTAGATGGTAGAGAGGGCCAATGAATTATCAGGGGGAGGGGGAGCAGGTAGTGTTACTGTGTGAGAAGGGTAGGAGGGAGTGCGTAAGTATAAGCAAAAGCCCCTGTCAGGGTTCGATTTGGCAGACAAGGCTGGAGATGGATGGTGAAGAACCAGATGTGCTAGTGTGGGACATGACCCTCTGCCCCCCCCCCCCCCCCCCACCCCGTGATAGACGTTCCAGAACATAAAAATGCAAAATCAGGACCATAATACCCAGCAATTATTATTGACATTATAATTTCTGGCTTGGTTTTCTGGAGTTCACTTGCCCCTGGCAGCACAGTTAAGGATCCAACTCCTTCCCGGTCCCTGAGCAGATTCTGGGAACTTCTTGTGTCCGGAGTGTTTGATGGATGTGAATATGCACACGCTGCACACTTAAGAGATGTGGGTGACTTGGGAGTGAAGAGTAGGGCGTGAAAACAGAGAGTTAGAGACGTGTGATTGTGTGTGTGGTGTGACATAGACATAGGCTTGACTGTGTCAATGATTCATCTGCTCTGGATACCACGCGGTATGAGTGTTTAATGTGATGTGTGTACAGAAACACCAATCTCTTCTCATTAAATAATTGCTGAAGTGACGTTTTTTGGCTGTCTACTATTCGCTCAAACTTCTTCAGTGTTTCCATCTCACACCTGTGCGCTCTTGGTGCAGTAATCCATCACAAGCCTTGATGTCATGTTCATTTTATAGTCAGACTAATGCAATTCCAGTACATCTCTCTAAACACATGTAGTTATGCAAACTGTGCCTTTAAACCTCTCATGGTGTGTGATCTTGTGAGTGTGTGTATGCTGCTTGGGGTAGATTGGACCTGTTGCAGCTTAGAGGTTGGAAGGTTGATGGATGGAAGAAGCAACATCTGGCCTAAATCTAAGTAGCTAAGCTAGAATTTTTGAAAATAGTGCCTTTGCATTGTATCAGAAGTGTAATACGTTAGATACGTTACATACACACTAAATGTGTAGTATGTTAGATGCACAGTAGGCCTCATTTATTGTGGGTTACAGATAACATACAGATGGCTTACTAATTAATGGCTGTTAATGCTCCTATGTTAGTGACTTTTTGGGATCTAGAGAGGTTTTATTCATGTTCACTTTATGGATCAAGTACACACCAAAAACGTATGCTGCATTCCGTTTACCTTGGAGGTCGAAAGTCGAATCGGGATTGATGTCACACCCCAGTTTAACGTGTTCCAGTACAAGAAGTTGGAAAGCCATTTAGCAATACCAGGGACCTGTTTCAAACAGCAGGATAACTGCTAGCCAGATAACTAGTCAAATTGAAGGTACCCCATTTTAAATGCCCTTTATCTTTGTTTACTCTCATTCAGCCCAGACTACCTTAAATCTGACAAGTTATCTGGCTAAGCAAGATATCCTGCTTTCTGAAACAGGCCCCAGTTCCAGCCAGATTCTTTGTTAGCCATTATTAGCAATATCAGTTAATAATGACACAAAATGGTATTTTGCACATACAGACACCTTAGAAAAATGTCCACATTTAGCCTTTGGACACTACTGTGCGTACGACCAATTTAATCAGCCACAAATAAGACATAAATGCAAATGAACTGCATATACTGTAACTCCAGCTTTCACTTCTGTAGGTGAAGTGTGCAGCCATCTTGAATTCTGAGGTCAGGTTGCAGAGGTTCCTCCAACTTTCCTAGAGGCAACTCTGACTTAAGGGCATATTCCAGTGGAAATTTCCGACTTTGAACTCAGAAATTCTGACTTCCAAGTTCTAATGGAACACACTATAGCCTTCTGCCTGCATTCTCTCTCTTACCATTAACCTGAAAGGGAATTATTGAATTTCACTCTGTAACCTGTGTGCACCATGTCAGCATTGGCTTCCCCACACACCTCTTTAACTCCCCCCCCCCCCCATAAACCTCCTGATGCACATCTGTCCAGAACCAAGAGGTGGTCCACTGCGGAAGCGACAGAATGGAGAGACAGAGGGTGGGGGTGTGTGTGGGGGGGTACTTCTCCTTACAAGGCCACGATGGCTTGGAGAGAGGGTTTAAACAAAAGATGGAATGTTACTGAGAAGCCCTGGCAAGAGAGCAGGATGACAATGACACCAGAAGGAGCCAATGTTAGAAGGGGAACCACAGGGATGGGTGTCTCTTTACAGGATATCTAACTGTCATTTCATCAGTGTCTTCTCTGCCCCCCCCCCCCCCCCCCCCCCC